TTGTTTTGCAGATACCATCAAAAATTTGTTAATGAATTATTACAAAACTGCAAAATCAAACGTTATTCAAGAGATAAAGGATTTGCAACTCAATGGTGGGAAATTCAGCGTAACTCTGGATGAATATTCATCAATTAAAAACCAACGCTATTTGAATGTCAACCTAACTGGTATTAAAAATTCTACTGCCTTGGAATGATAAGGATTAATAGATCACCAACGGCTGGAAAGGTGTGTTCTTTAAAGATTTAGTGTCATTCATTGCTTATACGTGTGATAAATGCTCTTTTTATAAACATTTTACTGAATTTTTTTCAAGTTTCCAGACGACTGAATGTCTCATTAAAAAGCAGAAAAATCTGAAATTGATGTGAAAGTTGATGCCGTTACCATAGTAACAGACGGTGCCTCAGATATGGTTAAATTCGGTCAAAATATCCCATGTGAGCTCAGTAAGCAAGATCTGAATGAAAGACGACACTTATGCAGTGCACTGGAAGTTTTCGAAATTGCCATCAACACATTATGTCGTCGAGATACTGACTTGTTCAAAACAGAAAAAACGCTGCAGTTCTACATCGATGCACTAAATAAATGGAATACGACTATCGCTGATGATCTCTTGCGTGCGCCTCTGGTGAGGATGACCGAGTGTAGAATACAAACTTTAATAAATTTGATGACATATATAAACATCCTTACTACATTCCGAAGGGAACAGATTATATGAGGTATTAGATCGTGAAAAAAAATAGTATGGAGCTGGCAGTGAATTTATCTTCACTGTTGTTCAGTACGAGCAGTAAAATTGATGATAAGCCTAAGTCCAACTCACCGATGGCAATTAATTCATGCAAGGACGGAAATGAACATGATACTGTTTTCTCGAAGCAAATTGAATTGATGATGGATTCCCAAAATTCCGTAAGTTGTGAAAAAAGTGATGACGCGTACAGCAAAGTAATCTCTGAAATGCATTTGTTCGAAGGGAAAGGTGGCGAGTATACGAAAATTGTACAACTTGATTAAAACGGTCCCACCGACAAGTGTTGAAAGTGAGCGAGCCTTCTCCGCATTTTCTTTTTTTTTACAAAGCTGAGAAATCGGATGAGTGATGCAACAATCAACGCTCTAACCTTTCTGAAAGTTTATTTCAACTCTCACTGAATTTTGCTTTTTGAATCTGTTGTTGTCGGTCTTAAGTCTTTTTTTTTTCGTCACAACGATTACTCATTTCATTACTCACTACGATTTTGTTGTGTTTTTTGTTTTGTTATAAATTCTTTGAATTTGCTGAGTTTTGTTGAATAAACTGTTTTCTGATTGATTTGAACACACTGGTTCAAATAGAATGTGTTGAACATGTCACACTTCTATAGTTCAAAAGTTGCTTTTCAATCCCGGGATTGGAAAACTATCTCGGGATCAAATCCCGATCCTGGCATTAGGAAAATGGTCGGGATTTTGCAAATCCTATCAAGCGAGGATTAAGATGTGCATTTTTGAAGCGTCACGATACTCTGTGCTCATTACATGCGTTCTCTTAAGAATAAACACATTCTGTTTTTTATCTCCTGTTATTGTTCAGCGGATATATGGAACATTTCTTCCGTTTCCTATCTGCAATATATTCACCAAAGAGGCGCTAGTCAATTAAATATTTGTTTTGCATTATTCACCTCAAATTGATTAAACTTAACATGTAATACCGAGGAAATGCATAGAATGGATTGAAAGAGAAAACTGAATTGAAAATTACTGTTGAAGATCATCATTCCAAACGTTTTTGATTGTTTGAGGTTTGTCCGATGACCTATGTATTCGATGTGTTGCAATGCGTAAAACAATTACAATCTGAGGCAACGGTCGCTTACACTCCACGTCTATCAAAGCGACTTTCCGTTCCACTTATAAACACCAGTGAGAATGAGGGTTCCAATGCACGCCTGCATTTCAGCTAAATTCACTGGTGCACAGTCTCCGTTCACTTTTTCATGACCTTTTTTACTCGTTCATNTTTGAAATTTCTTCAAGAACATTCCGCTAGAACAATAATAAAACAGACCGATATAATGATGTCAACACTGAACGATGCAAACTATGTCAGGCCACTTTCTTCATTGATCAGACTGCACTGTCCACTCCTATACGACCTCAAGAGTTGTACAAACCACGTTTGTGCATGATCTTTTGACTTCGTTGTTTGCAGCAGGCACATTTTGAATTATATTTTCAAGTAGCTCGGAATCAAGATAGATTGGATAGAATTTCATTGAATTCGTCGTCATCATCCGATAAAACGTTGTCATCATCAGTGACGTCCAATTTGGAAAAATTATCTCAGCTCCGGCTCAGCATTTTCGAAAATTTCAACTCTAACTCTGACGTTACACTTTGTAAAACTTCGGCCTCATCTCTAAAATTTCTTCTGCTCCGTTTTCGAACCAATTCTAATTCGTGAAAAAACTTTTCACAGATCTTACCTCCGTCTCTGGATGTTGGTGTTTTTTTTTTNTTTTTTTTTGAAGGAACATCACTAGTCATTACCTTCATCAGCATTATCTTCATTTTTTCCTTCGAATAAAGGTTCACTAATTCCATCATTTGAGAGCATTTTGGCAGATATAACTTCACAAAGCAAAAATCACACAGCAACAACCAAAAACTCATGCACACCTTACGAGTACTTGATTGTGAAAATTATCCTTATGTTAGCTGACCCGTCGTAATGACACTCAACAGTGCGTAGCCATCCGAAAGCTTGCGTAAGATGCGCATGAGTATAAGAATGAATACTATACAAAGCAAAGTGAGATCGCTTTCTTCGAATAAACGTTCACTCAAATGGAATGCTATGTTGTATTTACAGCTATGTTTGAAAATTCATTGAAAAATCTCATGTTACGTGTACCTAATGGAACGGATAAAGCCTGGCTTGAGAGGCTCGTCTTGTCTCCTATGCTGT